CAATTAGCCTCTCGGTAAACATGAACAAAGGAGATTGAGAGGTGATCTGATGACTTCAAGGTTTGCAGCCATAGCGATCTCAACGACTAGGGGATTTTCATCTCTCTCTTGCACCAGCTAATCACATTCTGTGAATCACCTTTAACAACCACATTCGTTCCCAGATTTTTAGCCAAGATGATCTTCAAACCCTCACAAAGGGAAAAAAGCTCGGCGTAACTAGCAGTAGAATCACCAGCTGGCCCTGCATAGGAGAAAATAACATTCACATTCCAATCCCGAACCACCCCACCAAACCCAGCCAAACCAGGGTTACCCAAGGAACCACCATCAAATTTTAGTTTTAAGCCACGCAGAGACGGAGGAGTCGAAATTGATCTCGATCGACACTTTGTAAAATTCAAACAATAAAAGTTATCAAGGTTTAGAGATACATCAACTTGGCCTAGCCCTCAGGTACAACAGACAACCAGTACCATATAGTAATACTTAATTGTGTTGAGAAGTCTGTCAAAAGCTAGATCGACCCCCTCAAAGGTTCTTTTATTCCTCTCTTTCTAGACTTCCTATAGAATTGCAGCTAAGCTAATCTACCATACCCTCTTACCTGCCTTGGGAAGATGAGGAAGATTAAGGCTAGTCCACACCAAACACACATTGACGCATAACAAGTGAAACACCAACACGAGCCATAAACCAAGACCATATCCTAGTTGCCACCACATAGTGCAGAAACAAATGAGCTCCTGACTCACCATCATTCGTACACATCAGACATATATTTGGGAGGATCTTACCTCTCTTGATAAGGTTATCCACAGTTAACACCTTATTTTGTGTAGGGAACCATAGAAATACCTGAACTTTATGAGGAATAGGCCACTTCCAGAAATATGCCACCTGAGATAGAGACTACCTACCCCGATCATGAAAGAGAAGTCGGTATAGTGATTTAACTGAGAATAGACCATCATTCTCAATTTCCCAGACTACGTCATTACTTCCCTATGAATAACAACCTTATTGAGCATATCCATAAGGGCGAGATAGCTGGACAGAGTTGTTACATTTATCCTATTATAATTGAAATTGACATTCCATACCATACCATCACCCATAAATTCAACCACTTCTGAAACCTTGGCATTAGGCAGCACCATTTTATCAAACACGTCTGGGAAAGCCCATTTAAGAGGCATCTCCCCAACCCATTTTTTATTCCAAAATAATATCTTTCTGCTGTCACCAACCAACCATCGTATATTACTCAAAATCAATTGTTTGTACAAATAAATATCACGCCAAATACTAGAATGGCTCTGGCTTCCACCCCCACCCCCAATCCAAACATCAAACCTATCCATTCCATATTTGTGGGAAAGGATTTGGACCCATAAATGATCTCTAAGGGCAAAGCTGCGCCACCACCATTTGGATAAGAAAGCTTGGTTAAGTAATCCCACCTTTATAATGCCCAATCCACCGTTGCTTTTGGGTATACATAATCTATCCCATCGAAGAAGATGAAACTTTTTATTCTCAACATCGGAACCCCACAAAAAATCTCTCATCATCTTCTCAATTTTTTTAACTATAAAAGACAACATTTACATAACTAACATCTGGTACATTGGTAAGTTTGCCAGCAAGACTGTAACAAAGTTACCCTTCCTCTTAAGGATAAATATTTTGGTTTCCACAAGTCCAGTTTAACGTGGACTCTATGCAAAACAATAACTCATACCGAGATAGGTTCCCTCCCCACAGTAATAGGAATCCCCAAATAAATAAATGGAAACCCACTTTACACCCCAAAACAACAGCAAGCTCCTTCACAAACTCACCCCTACAATTAATACCAATAAGTGAAGTCTTATTGAAATTAACTTTGAGCCCCACGGCTACTTCACAACAAGTTAAAAAGAGAGCAATATTAGATACTTGATCAACACTCGCTTGGCAGAATATCTATGTATCATCAGCATATTGAATGTGAGATACACTAAGGCCATTAACCAACCTAGAATCCCATAAAGTTACCTGCAATCTCCACATTTTTTAACATCAAGCTAAAACATTCTGCATAAATTGTGAAGAGAAATGAAAACATGGGGTCACCCTGGCGTAATCCCTTAGAGGCCCTAAAGAAACTTTTTGGGCTTCCATTTATTAGAATTAAGAAATAAACAGATGACATGCAACCATATATCCAACTCTTCCATCGCTCAAAGAAACCCATTTGTTTCATAATTTCTAGTAATATACCAAGTCAACCATGTCATAAACTTTCTCTATATCTACTTTAATCACAACCCCTGGTAGTTGGCTTAGTACCCTTTAGTGAACACACTCTTGTGCCACTAGCAGACTATCCAAAATAAGACGGTCTTAAATGAACGTTGATTGAGGGCTATAAGTAATCGACGGCAGAACCCTCTTTAACCTCATTGCCAAAATTTTGGCAATGATTTTATAGAAACTCGTGAGAAAGCTAATGGCCCTAATATCTGATGACTCTATAATGGTGGATTTTTTGGGAAACCGTGCTATAAAAGTCAACTCCTTTATATAATTTACCCCTCATCAAAAAACCCCTTACCATCTCCAAAAGCTCCATCTTAACCAAGTTCCATAATTTTTTAAAGAAAATAAGTGGAAATCTGGACCTGAAGCCTTATCACCAGAAAGTGAAAAGACTGCAAATTTCAATTCCTCCATAGAAACCTGTGCATCCAATTGAGAAACATCAATAAATGAAAGCACCTTGAATGGAACATTATTTAACCTCGGTGTAAATCTAACTTTAGAAGAAAAAGCCCTTTTAAAATGATCTGTAATAGCCAACTCTAAGCCGTTGTTTGGAGGGTACATGGATACATAACGTTTTCATGTTTCTTTTTCTATTCTTTTTTTTTCTTTTTTTGTTCAACACTTTTGATTGTATTATTCATTACCATGTCATTTGTTTCATTAAGTTTGAGAAACTTTTCTCTCTAAAAATTTTGAGATAATTTATCTCTCTAAAACAAATTCAAGTAATTTCTATCTCTAAAATTTCACATTGTTTCACTCTAAAATTTTAAGATATTTTTCTCTATTTAAAATGTTAAGATATGTCTCTCTCTAAAACTTAAAATTTGAGTGAGTTTTTTCTCGCTAAAGTTTTGAGATAGCTTCTCTCTGTAAAAAATTTTAAGTGCATAGTACTCAAGCAAGTCCACGTGGACTCTCCAGAGTTATTTGCCTCGAGCAACGGCTAAGTCATGAGCGCGAGTTGAATATTTAAACATTAACCATAACTGCGATAATTCTTTTGATTAATTTGCATTTCCTTGAGTCTGCTTGTCATGTTTGAGTAAAGTGATCTATTGCTTTAAGTTATTTTTTATTATTTTATTTATTTATTTATTTACTCTCTGATAGTCTTATTCATAGACTTCAGTAATTATTATTTTTACAACTGAGGTCCATCGTGGTTATCATTAGTGTTTGAAAAACTAGATTGCCTGGGCAACCAGTATTCCCAAAATCTAGTCTGGATTGGAGAACTGGCAATCCAGATCGAAGAACCAGACCAATTCTCTGGTGTTAGACTAGGGCCCCAATAAAAATTACATAATAATTTGAATTTTGACAATAGTAAAATGAAAATAATAAAAATATTAAAATTGGTGATGACTCGGTGATCATAATTGCTGGGGTGAACTGGCTTTTTGAAAATCTAGTCTGGATCGATGAATTAGTGATTTAGAAGTGAGAATATGTCCAGTCCTCTATTGTGAGAATCAATCCCCAAAACAACTACATAGGAATTGTAACTTTGGAAAATGAAAATAAAAATATATTGAAATATAAATTAGATGAGAACTTGTGTCACTCAAGCAATCCAAATTGCTTGTTTCCCTAACAACTCACCTATTTTTCTGACGGAATGGGGGTGTGAGTCCATCAAAATCGACTCAATTCTCTATTTCAACCAGGAATTGATCGGTCTTTATTGATTTCCTATTTGGATTAGTGAAATTTAATATACTAGTCATGATCATAACTATGGATTTGTATGAACAGAGGGAGCGGGATGACCAAAATTTGTTGTGGAGAGAAAGAAGCTAGTAAGATTGTACTTGTATAAAGAGGCATAGAGAAAGGGAGAAAGAGAGAGAAAAAAGCTAGTAAGATTGTATTTGTATAAAAAGCCATAGAGAGAGGGAGAAAGAGAGAGAGAGATATTGGTACCACTTACTTGTTAGAGATATAGAGAGTAGGTTTTGTGGGGAGAGAGTAAGAATCTGAGCTGAAAGAGTAAGCAATAAGATTTGTTGTTGAGAGAGAGAGTACAAAATTAAGACAAATAAGGCTTGAAAAAATTTGGAAGTCAAGCTCATGTTTATTCATTGGTGCTCCCTTAGTAATGAATGTGCATATAAAAGACGCAACTCCAGAGTGCACTACAGTTTAATAATATAAAAAAAGTTTAAAGGAAAAATATCCTCATACTCTTTATTTTTTATTTTTTTATCTCAATAGACTCAAAAATTCAAAATATATATCCTAACTCTCTAACTAGCTTTACACACTTTTAACTATTTTTTTAACTCTAACAAATATGAAAAAGACTTGCTCATTCTGAACCCTTCCTTTCTTTACATGATATACTCCCCCAAAATTTCGCTCTCTCTAAAATTCATCATCTTTGTCTCTCTAACGGAGGACAGGGGGGAAGAGAGAGTGGGAAAATAGGTAGAAAGAAAGATTTAGGGAAAATCACGTGAAGAGAGAGAAAGGATGGTGTTTAGAAATAATATGTTTTTTTTCTATTTGTTTTGAAAAAAAAACTAGGTTTAAAAAGGATAAAGTTAGCCTAAGGAGTTAAAAAGTATAAAACTTAAAATTTTTATGACTCAATATATGTTTTGAAACCTTAAGCCTATTAAGATATAAAACATAAACAATGATAAATATAGAGATAATTTTCCTAAAATAAATACCGGCCTACATTATTCGAAAAGCTCAAATCTTTATTGTACATAATACATTTTTTAATTTCAACCGACACAATTAAATTAAACCATTTCCCTTGATTTGGTGGAAGTTGGGGTAGCAAGCATGCTCACGGCAACCTTTGAAACAGGCAATAAACATATCATGAGAAGGCAGGCTCTCCTTCACAACCTCAACGCTTCTGAACTCTTCAATCCAAAGAATGAATAAGTGGGGTCTTCTCAGCAGCATAATACATTATATTTGCAGCTTCCCCTAGAGCTCCCATCCACAAGCTTAGAAAATTTACAATGATGTCTACAAATCCAATATTTTCTCCACTGAAAAACTTCCCCTCGAGCCCTTCTTGTAGGGTTTTTCGGCCCTCTGGAAATTCCTCGAGGGCTTTCGCCTGTTTTGACTCGTGTGTGCTGTAGGCAATCCAGCAGCAGGCAAAATCTGTTTGGAGAAAAGAGAAATATGCATTGTATTAAATGGACCTGCAAAGTTAATCTAGGAGGGTGGATGGATCAGCACAGCTAATCTAGAAGGGTGGATGGATCAAAGGGTTTTGAGCTCCAAATTTGGTTTTCTTATTTTTAAATTAACAGCAAATTACGTGCAGACATCATTGGGGGTCAATTACCAAATGGGAAACTCATTTATCCAAAATTACGAGCATCACTTTTTATTTTTCTAAGTTGTGTCTGGCAATACAAATACCGACATGAAGAGAACTATTTTTTTTCAAAATAAAAGAGTCATCCAATGTTCGAAATACTGAACAACTATACGGGGTTTTCCCCATATGGTGTGATAACCCCATATTGAGTGATAACAGAAAAGAAGAAGGTTTCCATTGGCTAAAAAAATTACGGCTAAAAATGGTTGAGATTTGGGGGAAAGAGAGTGGCCGGAAAGAATCGGTATCGGCTGGAAAATGGCCCCCCTAAAAGGGTCTCTCTCTCTCTCTCCTGCGTACAAGAAACCCTAGGTATCCCTTTGTTTAGCCTCAACGCACCTAAACCCATTCAAAAACCATTTCACGTGTCTCTTACATTGCCCCCATTTCTTTCCCTGCGGATTTTATACGATTTCCCCAACTTTTATTGTCTGATTTCTTCTCACCATTTTCCCCCAATTCTTTTCTCTCTCTAGATAATAGGTTAACCGTACATGATAATAGTGTCTTCTTAATTTCAAAAATTTTCATCCAAAATTTTCCATTTATAAATGGAAAAGTATTTTTCTGATACCTGTGTAGCCTGTACTTGTGGGTGGGCGGATGGGCTGAGGGAGGCGAAGGAATGTAGAGACAAAGAGCGAACCAGTCTCAGAGGGAGAGAAGCTTTTGCTGTTTTGTCTGAGAGAGGGAGACCCGTTATTCAGAGAATGAGAGAGAGCGCCACTCACGTTGATCTACAGAGAGAGAATCCCATACGTATTTCGAATATCCGTCATCAAACAACTAAACAAACTCTGAGGAGAACCGTCCGGTAATTCAAACCCCCGAGCAACTCTTTCGCTTTACAAAAAAAAAAATTACATAAAAACCCACGACACTTACCCTAACCTAACTTTTTCTCTCACGTTTTTTCCAAAATACACCATCTTTGCAAATGCCCCCAACCAAATAAAATATTTCCTAAACTACCCTCCCTTACTTTTTTTCTTTACGTCTGTCTCCTCTATACCTCCAAAATACGGGCTCGGGCACCGTGTAAAGTGCGGTCGGGAAGTAGGGATCCGGCACTAACTGCGGTCCGATAGTATAGTAGTATGGCTCTGGCAAATATGTAAAGGGCAGTCGAGCCGTTGCAAAAGGCGGTCCGGCAGTTGTAAAGGGTGGTCTAGCAGTTGCAAAGGGCAGTCCGGTAGTAGCTGTTACTGGATTTCAGGCTCCGGCACTACGTCAAGGTCCGGCAGTTGCAAAGGGCGGTCTGGTAGTAGATGTTACTGAATTTCATGCTCCGGCGCTATGTCAAGGTCCGGCAGTTGCAAAAGGTGGTCCGGCAGTTGCAAAAGGTGGTCCGACAGTTGCAAAGGGCGGTCCGGTACTAGATGTTAATGGATTGCAAGGCTCTGACACTATGTAAAGGGCAGTCCAGCACTTGTTCCCTCCGATAATGTGCTACTGGGTCCAAAAGTCAATATCAAGGCCAAAATGAGTTTTGTATATGGGAAAATTATTTACGTTTAAAAAAAAAAAACTTTTTCCCATGAGAGTATTTGCATATAAAGTTTGTTTTGGGGAAAAAAATGAGAAAAAAAATTAGATTGGAAGCAAGTTGCATAAAAAGTGTGAGCTTGGGGTTTTTTGTAATTTTTTCAAAAAATTATCACTACTCCTATCGGGTACTTGCATTGCTAGAAAGGAGGACAACTTTTTAAAAAAAAACCTATGAGATTGGGGAGGTGATGCTTGTAATTTCGGATAAATGACTGTTTATTTGATAATAAAAAATGATAATCCTTGAAAAAGTGTCAAATCCACTTATCCAATTTAAATAAAATAAAAAATGTACAAACTTATTTCTACAAGAAAGATAACAACCTTTAATGTACTTTTTTCCACTAATCAAAGGCTTTGAGAATTTAACGGTCATTCAAATTACCTAAAGTGGTCGTTGGGCGAGCAAGTGTACATTGTGGTAATGTTGGGCCACTAAATACATTTCCTATAACATTGTGTTCCAAATCGGTTGAGGGAAAAATGGGCAAATATATATATATTTATATATGAACAAATTAGTCAAACTCCCGAGCATTAAAGGTAAAGTTTATACGAGTGTGATGCTCTAAACATTCAAATTAGAACGCGGCTCAAAAATTCCACTAGAAAAGATTGTTTTGAAGCTCAAATATTCTCAAATTGATTATCTCAACCTTAAGATGCAAGGACACGAAAAAAAATAGATTTCAAGTTTTTAAAATAGTGCATATTGTAATTCATTTTTTTATCGTCAATTTTCAAGTTTTTCAAGTTTTCATAAATCTCCTTCATCTTCACTATTTTTTAAGTTTTAAATTCTATAATTAAAAATGAAAATATATTTTAAGACTATCACAAAGATTTCCATTATTGAAACTACATTTTTTAACCTTATTTGAAGGTGCATTTTACTTTGACTGTATGGGGCATCGGCTCTATACTACCCGCACCCTATTGTAAATGGTGTGCATAAGAAAATGCAATTTGTTGCACTTACTAGTATTATGCACCCAAACAAGAAGCCTATTGTATAGAGCGTAAGAGTCTTGTATTTTAGAGAGAAAAAAAAAAGAGACGTAGAGAGAAATGGATGAGTTTTTTATTCTTTTTATAATTTTGTATGGATAATGGTATATATTGTGTTTTTCTTTAGAATGGGAAGAAGACTCAGCTTTAAAAGACTTGTGAAATTACTCTTAAAATGGTCACATACACTATTAATAATCACCCGTAACATGCATCACCCTTAATATCGATGATTGTGATATGTTATAAGCATTCCTCTCTTCAATAGATCGTGATCGTTGGGTGCTCAGCATCTATAGAGATTAATTACATGCCTAGTTCTTGTGATTGCGTATCGAGCACTCTTGGAAGGTTTATTGTTTATGTTGAACTTGTTATTTATTCTGGACTTTTCTAGATTTAGGGTTCATATTTTACCTTCCCGATTTTGTATACAGCAATGTCATTATTGGCTGTGGTGTAACAAGGTAGCAGTCAGCATTGTACCAATTCGTTGGGAAAATAAATTTCATATTATCAAGGAAAACAACCTTTTCCTAGAAAGCTAAAGTGCACCTAAAAAATCTATAGAAAGACGTTCTAATGTTGAAAAATATCACGACATTCTATAAGAAAAAAACTTAAATTACATTGAAATCATGAAAATAATGCTTGTAATATATTATCTGGACCTTCTAATAAAACAATTTTCGTTGTTTATTAATTTGCTCGATATACAACATTTCTTGGTTAGTTTTTTAGAATAATTCTCTTTATCTATTTTTATAGAAAAGTTTCTCTTACGATTTTGAAACTCATTTATTAAGAGACTCAAGGATTCAAAACTTTTTTTTGCGTTACAATCTTTTGTACCTTCCAAACCTTTTGACCCAAATAACCAATTTTGACCATATATAATTGACCCAAACAACATATGAAATGACCTCTCTCTTTCTCACTTTATCTCTTTCAAAATGGAGCATATTGTTTCTCTCTAAAACCACACATCTCTCTCTCTCTGTAAAACCCACTGGAGCATACTGTCTTTCTAAAACCCACACCATCTCTTTCCTCTCTCTCTGTGAAACCCACTAAAGCATACCGTCTCTCTCTAAAACCCACACATCTCTCTCCTCTATCTCTCTCTCTCTCTCAAACCCACAGCTCTCAAGTCCCCCAACCCTCTATAACGTCTCTCTGTTTAAAAAGTGCAACAGTGATAAAGCAACAAATATTCGTTGAACACCTCTCTCTCTTAAGTCCCCTTTGTCACATATGAGATCGATTTGCAGCACTAGGAAATCGTTGATGAAGAGGATGGCTCCTTCCAATCCAAGGAACTCTCTCAGTAGCTCACTTTCAATCATGGAGGCTACCTGAGTGTCAACTACCCTGTCAGCCCCATTCATTTCTCCCGGCACCGGCGCCCGCGCCAAATTAGAGAAGAAAAACCATCACGACCTCCTCTAGATTTAGCAGAGAAGGAAAACCTAATTGTCGGTTCTGTAGTGGAGAAAGACCCTCCACTGGATTTAGCAGAATTGAAAGCACAAATTGGAAAGTCATGATCCGCTCATTGCCCTATGCAAAAATGCAATAAATTTATAATTTGTTAATCACTAAAGTCATGACTTTTGAAAGAGGAAGAGAATTGGATTCTCTATTCGAGCTCTGAGAGATTGCCAGTGTTAGAAGGCCCGTAAAGGGTGAATGCTTTGACCCTGTTGCACTTCTTTTTTCTTTTTCTTTTTTTTGAGAGAGACGTCGTAGGTTTGAGAGCTGCGTCGGTTATGGAGAGAGATGTGTGGGTTTTAGAGAGAGAGACGTTACTGCTTTATCTTTTGAGAGAGATGAGTCATTTCAAATTTCGGGCATGCATGCGAGATGATATTTGCCTCCCCTTCAATATTGTAAGGGAAAATACAAGTGCGATGCTCGAAACAATCATGCCCCAAAACATTTCACTACAAGAGGGTGTTTTGAAGCTCAAATATCTTCAACTTGATCATCTCAACCTCAAGCTGCATGAACGTGAGAAAAAAATTAGATTTCAAGTTTTAGAAATAATGCATCTTGTAAATGCATTTTGGATCATCAATTTTAATATTTTCAGTTTTTATAAATCTGCCCAATCTTTTTTTTTAAATAACTTCTTCACAATTAGCTTAATTTGGGGTCATGTCTCTATATTGATTTTCTAATGGAACAAGTTTCTTATATGGAACGCCAATAAAATTTCAATTCAAAACAAATGGCCTCCCTCTATTCCTCTCGAATCTTAATATCTTACTAAAAATAAAAGTTTGATGTTACCTATGAACTCCCTCTTTTTGTCTTTATTGCATTGTGCTTCTCTATCTAAAACCGAATTTCTCTCTCTCTTTAAAAATCCAATCTCTTTTTCTCTCTAAAACCCAATCTCTCGTTCTCTCTAACAACCCATTTTTTCTCTCTAAAAACTCAATCTCTCTCTAAAAACTCATTTTCTCGCTCTAAAAACCTAATCTCTCATTCTCTCTTAAAACCCATTTTCTCTCTCTAAAATCTCATTCTCTCTAGAACCTTAATCTCTCTCTCTTTAAACCGATTCTCTCTTTAAACCCAATCTCTCTCTCTAAAAACCATTTTCTCTATAAAAACCTAATTTTTTTCTCTATAAAAACTCTCTGTAAGAACTAGCTTCAAAAGAGAGAGAGAGATGGCAGATGGAAGAGAAAAATATTTTTCCTTTTTCTTTTTTTTTGGTTTTAGTCCCCACCTTCTGGGATGCAGATGTCTTTTCACACCATTTGCTTCTTGTGGTAGTAGAACCTTTTCCTATGGAACAAGTTTTCATCTGCTTTACGCACGAACCAAATATGTGTAACTGCATGTTTCATATGAAAATCGTCTCATGATGCACGTTTTCATATGAACCAAATGAGCCAAATGAGCCCCAAGTAACATGCCCATTGATTTGGTTTGAGAAACTAGGTGGCAAGCCCATATTAGTCCCCACAAAAGAGAGTTTCTTCATACGAATGGGTGGAGAAAGTGTTTGGAATGTGGTCATTCAGTCAAGAGCAGAATGGCTGTTGAAGCACCAGGGAATCCAATACCAGTACATAAATCTTTCTATCAAAAGCCACTCACTTTTACACTGCAACCCGGTTTACAAGAAGGTCCCCTTCCTCTTACATGGCCAAATCCAGTGGCTGAATCCTTGTTGATCTTAGAATATATACAAAAGAAACATGGCCACAAAAACCCCACCTTGGCCAAACATCCTCATCAGAGAGCAGTGCCTCGGATTTGGGCCAAATTCTGAGATGATAAGATAACCCTTCTTCCCTTGCTAATCACTATAGCATATTCTAGTTTTTCACAGTTCGGATTTAGAGAGTTTCTGGTAAAGCATCTGGAGAGGATGAACAATAGAGATTAACAATGACGAGGTGGATGACCACTCTCTGCCGGTTGTCTAGGAGAAAGAACGGTGGATAAAAGAACGGTGGATGCCGTACAATATCGTGTACATACA